CTGTTAGCCATTCCTTGAGGGAGTACTTTCCATTCATATCTCTGATCAGGACCTTCATGATTCAGTGCAGGGATAGTAAATGCAAAACGTGGACTATCCTCAGGATGAATTGGAATTGAAAAAAAAACAATCTTTAATATCTATAACTAAAACACATCAGGTTTTTGGCAAAGCAGACAATTGAGCAGGTCCCATAATAACCATCTCATTATTAATGGCTCTTAAATCTTGTAATAATCTCCATTTACCAGATTTCTTTTTGATTTGACAAAAATGGGAGTATTATGGGGAGATATGGAAGATTGTATATGTCCCTCTGCTAATTGTTGTTTGACCAGGTCATGGGCTACTTGTATCTTTTCTTTAGTCAGGGACCACTGAGGAACCCATACTGATCTTTCTGATTTCTAAGTAATTTTGATTGTCTCAATGGCCCCTTCTGAAAACCCAATCCATGTCTATTTATTCCTTGATCTATTTGAATTGGTGCTGTTATACCTTGTTCTTGTTCCCCTAATCTTTTTTCTTTCCTAAAACCTTGTCTAGCCCTAGTAGTGGGCGCATTAGGATTGATGTTATTTGTTAATGTCAAACCTAATTGATCTAGGACATTTCGTCCCCATAAATTTATAGGAAGATGATCCAATACATATGGTTGTATAGTTCCTTCACATCCTTCAAGATCCTTCCAATCTAATACCATTGCACTTCTATGGGGATTAGTCGCCACTCCTAAGCCTTGAAGCGTTTGAGTGGCTTGTTGTAATGGCCAATGTTTTGGCCATTCTTCATGAGATATGATGCTAAGGTCTGCACCTATGTCCAGTAGCCCATTAAATTCATGTCCTTGAATATTTAGTTTTAGCATTGGGCAAGAATCTAAATTTAAAGACAGCATAGCCCAATCTACACCTGTGGAGCCTAATCCCCTGGAACCTCTTTCTACAGTACGACTGGAAAATTTATCATGCAGGCTGGGTATTATTAACAACTGTGCTATTCTATCTCCTGGTGAAAATACTGATATACCTCTTGGAGAACTAGCTATAATTTTTATTTCACCTACATAATCAATTACCCCAGGACTTATCATAAGTCCTTTTAGTGTAGAAGAACTGCGTCCCAATAATAAGCCTACTGTTCCTTGGGGAAGAGGTCCTTTTACTCCTGTAGAAATGATTTGAACTCCCATCTCTGGAGTTAGTAGTGCTCTGGTGGAGACACAGATATCCAACCCTGCACTCCCTCTGCTTTGTCTGATGAGGGATTTAATGGATAATGTGTCCTGGGAACTACCCTGATGGTGTTGCTGGGTTCCTCCATTGCCCCATATATTTGTGCTTGTGGGCCCCAGAGCATTGGGCCCCCCCAGTCCATTTTTTGGCAATGGAGCCTGATGCCTTTCTCCATGATATCGTGGGTAAACACCTGGTCCTTGTCTGTTTTTTGATAACAGAATACCCTCTATGGTGGTTTGAGAACGGCATTCATTAGCCCAATGTCTCCCTCTATGGCATCGTGGGCAAATACCCAGTATTCTATTCCTTTGGTACCTAGTTTTATTAAACCCTTCTCCTATGGGGCAATTCCTTTTAAAATGTCCTGTTTGTTCACAATTGTAGCATGTTTTTGGCCTGGCATCTAAAGCCTGTTGTACTGCAGCTGCCAAGACTTGTCCTTGTTCATTAATGTCTCTACATAATTTAATATATGTTTAAATCTTCATGTTTCCATGGTCTAATGACCTCTCTGCAGCAATGATTCACTTGCTCATAAGCCAGTTGTTTTATTAATGGCATTGCTTGTTCTGTATCCCCCAAAACTCTGGTAACTGTTTGAATAAGCCTATCTACAAATTCAGCGTAAGGTTCATTAGCTCTCTGTATTACCTTAGATAATTGACTTGTAAATCTCCATGTCCTTGTAAAGTCTTCCATGCCCTAACTGCGTCTGCAGCAATTTGTGCATATATAGCAGGATCATATTCAATTTATTGCCGTTGACCCTCATAAGGTCCTTTTCCTAACAACATATCTAGATTTCTTTGAGGGTAACCGGCTGCTGCATTTCGCCTAGCCGTCTCCATGCAAAACTCCTCTTTGGCAACCTTCCATAACAAATATTGTCCTCCATTTAGTACAGATTTACACATGCTAGCCCAATCTGCTGGCGTCATGTCCAAGTTGGTAATGGATTTGACCATGCTTACAGTGAAGGGTGCTTGGGGACCATAGGTTGTTACAGCCTCCTTTAATTGCTTCACTGTTTTGAAAACTAAAGCATGGTGAATTCGCTGCCCTCCTGCCTGCTCAAGTACAGGGCATGCTAATCTTTGAGGTCCTGTCTTAGGATTCCATCTATCAACTACGGGGGTTTAGGGCCACTCAGATGTCTCTATAGGTGGAGCTGTTGGTTGAACTACACCCTCTGGTGATAGAACGGTGTTAGTAGCAGCCTCTTGTTGTAGCTTTTTCCCTAATAGCCCCTTTTCCTTTAAATTTTCTTCCTCTAACTAGCTCGAGAGACCTTCTCTTTTGATCTAAAATGTCTTTCTCCATGGTCTGAACCTCTAACAATTTACTTAACAGTCTTTTGGTTTGTTTTTTACTAATTTCTAATCTACTATAAAGATAATGCAACCCAACAAGACAACACAAAACAAACAAAAACAGAATGAAACAAAAACAGAACAAAAAATCGTTGTATCAATTTTCTCTTCCTCAGGGCGGAACAATTTCAAACCTTGAGCCAACCATTTTTCCCAGTTTGCCTGAGAAAGTTCTAGGGATAGGCAGCTTGAAATAAAAACAAAATAAATCAAAACAAGAACACATTGTTTTTTTAAATGGTTACCCATTCTCTCGCCTTCCCTCAAGGGCGAGCAATTTCACTTACCTCCGAGCTTCAGGCGTTCCCTGCACGGGCCGCCAAATGCCGCAGTCTGACTGGGCACAAAATCAGGAGCCACTCAAGCAGGAACAAACTTTATTTCCAAATCTCCCACCAATGCCAGGCACGCAACCTTCTCCGGGGACACACTACACCAACAGGAAATCCCTCCTCTGGAATTCCCTCCTACCTCACTTCCCCAACCAATGGGAACTCTTCAGGAGTCCTGTGAGAGCTCCAAAGTAACAGGCAGAGAAGGACAGCAGGGGTCTAATCTCCAATTGAATGCACATCTTAACATTATCATTATCATCTCAATGGCTTGCTGGCGTCACCTTTCAACCAAAAATGCCACGTGTCATTCCTATGGCTCTCAGCAGGTGGGTTTTTGCCAAGAGCAACTGCCAGCAGCCATCAAACAGCTACAGTGGAGCCATGCTGGGCAGAAATCCAGAAGGAACATCTGGGCACAGGAGTGAATCATCCTGGGGGCTTGAGCCTATAGTTCAATCAGGCTCTGTAAAGACCTTCAGTTTTCTTTTCTTGATCTATTTCTCAGTGTCATTCCCCTGAAATTTGCTTCTCAGATTTGAAGGTTATAATAGGCCAGGTTTACCAGGACCATTCAGACCCCAGAACAGCTGGAAGGGGCTGGAGGTCCTTACTGCAGGCCTCAAATCCCCAAGCTGGCATGTGTTTAATCAATGATGAAGACTGATAGGCTGCAACTTTGCTCTGCCCTCACTGACCACTAGAGCAGCATCTGTGACCCTCAAACTACAAGTGTCCTGCTCTCTAAGGGTGAAAAGTCTTATGAGAGCTCCTCCCCTTCAACATGCTTTCTGCAAATCTGCTCAGAGTTTACTAAGGATCAATCACAGGCCTAAACTATTCCCCTACATCCCTGGACTTTCACTGAATGGAGTGGTAAGCTAAGTTCCTTATCAGTATTTTGCCCACACCAAAGGAGACTCCTGCTTTGGGCAGAACTTAAGGGTCACAAAGATCAATATGTGGCAAGTACAGAATGTTGGGCTACAGGCTGCTTGATGAGGATTCCAGTCCCAACTCTGCTAACAAACTACTTATAGAAACTTAGTCAAGTCACTTAACTTTCCAGACTGACCTAAGGCGGATGAAAAGGAAAAAAAAAAAAAAATTAGTTAAAAAAATCCTGGAAGCCCTGAAGCAGGCGAGGCCCGGGGGAGGGACACAAAAAACAACTCTAGGTTTGGAGGCTGAAAAGTCTTAAGTCAAAAGTTTCAGGAAAATTTAATGATTATTCATTTTATATTTAAATTCATAAGTCACACACACTTTATGACTCTGGTAGAAACTCTGAAAGAAAAGATCAAAAGCGTACCCCATAGGAGAATCTGTTTATGAACCCATCTTTGCTTTCCAATCCTAAATAGGAACATCTGACCCAGCACCCTCTGGGAAAATCAACCTTTGATTCGGAATTGTTGCTCAATAATGATTATTTTGGTCACAGCCACACACCATCAGCCCACCAGGAAGTCTGAGGGGAGGCAAACAGCCAGGAGGACAGAGCCTTCTTCTCTCACCAGGAAGCAATTCCAGCTCCAAGCAAGAGATGCATGACAAGGTGCTACAGGGAGAAAGATAATTTAGCCATTATGTTTTTAGAGTTAAGAAACACCCTCGGTTCAATCGTGGAAGCCCTTAAGTGTCACTGGTGCCTGGAACCAAATGTAATCCTCTGAATCCAGGGCTGGAATAGAAGGTCTGCCACAGGACAGGGTCACAGTGAGTTTGTGGCCGCGGCTAGGCACTCGGTAATTGAGCTTGGGTCGAAACCAATCTTCTCCGCAGTCACGGTGCCCCTGTGCCATAACAATGGTGCCCATGAGTGGAGGAGCCTGTAGCTCACTAAAGGCATCAGCCATGAAAATGGCCCGGAAGAGACGGCGCAAACAAGCAGCTGTGCTCAGGTTCTGGTCCATGCTGAAGGGGACCAGCCTGGACAGGTCAAGTTCATAGAACTCCTTGGGGCTTAGGGCACTGCCCCCGAGGAGGATCAGCACCCGTGGTACTAGTGTCCGGGCAAAGAAGTCTTCTAAATGGCTGAGGACACTCTCCAGTTCCGCCAGTGCTTGTTGGCATTTCCTGCTGCTTGCCTCAGTGGTGACTCGAGGTTTCTTCCTCACTGCATTCTCTGCCTGTGAGGAGAAAGAATAGTGAGAGAGAAGGACTTGATAAGGGGAAGCTAATGCCCTCTGAAGAACACGGCTGGGTTTTGTAGACAGCTTTCAGGACTGAATTTCTAGCTCAATTAACTGCCATAAATATACAGTGGGTTTTATCAGAGGGCATTATGCTGAAAAAGAAAATATATTCTTTGTACAAAGCCATAATTTATATGCACTCAGAACAACAAAGACAATATCCTGAAGCTGATGGGAATTGAAAATAAGGAACTAAAACAGTCAAGGACACTCCATGGCATAGTTGAAGTAGCAAATTTCTGTTTTACGGGGAGTTTTTAAGAATGAATATTATTTGGACTAATAAATTCTGGAGTAGGTCCTCTAGTTAAACATGACAAATTAAATACAAGATTATTAATTACTTATTTTTATGTGGTGCTGAGGATTGAACCCAGGGCCTGGTACGTGCTAGGTGAGCACTCTACCACTGAGCCCCAGGACAAATTTCTAAGAAAATTTTTAAGGAAATACTTTACTCTCTTTTCAAAGGAAAGAGAGCAAGAGACACCCCCCCGCCCAGAGAGAATAGGCAACATTGGCCAAAGGCAACAACAAAGTTTTGAAAGGTAGACAGAAAGTAGATAGAAAAGGGTGAGTTGTAGCGTACTTGCCTAGCATGTGCAAGGCCCTGAGTTTGATTCCTAGCACTGCTAAAAATAAAAAAGGGTAAGAGAAAAAGAAAAATGGAGCTTGGGTTGTGGCTCAGTGATAGAGCACTTGCCTAGCAGGTGTGAGGCACTGGATTCAATTCTCAGCACCACATATAAATAAATAAATGAATGAATGAAATAAAAGTCCACCAATAACTAAAAAAAAGAAGAAGGTAAATGGAAGAGTTGAGAGTTCAAGTGGGGGTGAGGTTGTAGCTTTGCAGTAGAGTACTCGCCTAGCACGTGTGAAGCGCTGGGTTAGATCCTCAGCAGCACATAAAAATGAAATAAAGGTACCGTGTCCAACTACAACTAAAACAAAATATTTTTTTTAAAAAAAGAACTCCTTGGGGCTTAGGGCACTGCCCCTGAGGAGGACCAGCACTCGTGGTACTAGTGTCCGGGCAAAGAGGTCTTCTAAATGGCTTCTAGAAGACAAACTCAGTGGGTTGTAGCTCAGTGCTAGAGCGCTTCTTAGCATGCGTGAGACACTGGGTTCAATCCTCAGCACCACATAAAAAAATAAATAAATAAAGGTCTAACAAAAAAAATTTTAAAGGAGGGGACAGATTTCAAGAGAGCAAAATGCCAAGTACTGACAAAGCAGATGCCCACAAAAAACAAATTCACACTGCAAAACCCCAGAAAGATTCAAGAACTGGTAATATTCTTAGGAGAAGGCAAGAGTAAGCATAGGGAGACCGAATAAAACTATGTGAGGAGGCTTATACGGCCTGCAATTTCCTCCTCCATCCAATACTATGTTCAGGAAGTTTCCCAAAGAGACCACCAGGTTCCTACTCAATCTCTTTTAAGGAAAGTCATTAGTGCAAAAGGCCCAGGCACATGCACAGAGCTTGCTATAACTCGTTCTGAAATATTCACCAGACTCAGAATAAAAACTTTCAACATGAAAGATACCAAAAAAAAAAAAAAAAAAAGGGCAAAGAATTCTGAAAGAAAGAGAAACACTGCAATGAACAGAGAAAAATGTCAAACACACATTAAAAATCTTCAGGTAATAGAAATTCAAACAGTCATGAAACAACAATATGTTATTTTAAAAGAAGATGGAAAAAATGAAGAAGGTGCTCTTAAGAATATTATCACTAGCTGGGGGGAGTTGCACACACCCATAATGGGGGAGGGTGGCTAAGGCAGAGTATCACAAGTTTGAGGCCAGTCTCAGAATCTTATTAAGAACCTGTTTCAAAATAAAAAACTAAGGTGCTGGGGTTGGGGCTCAGTGGTAGAGCACTTGCCTAGCATACGTAAGGCACCAGATTTGATCCTTAGCACCACATATAAATAAATAAAATGAAGGCCCATCAACAATTTAAAATATTCATATTAAAAAAAAATAAAATAAAAAGGTCTGGGGATATAGCTCAGTGATGGGGAGTTCAATCCCCAGTACCAAAAAAAGAGGAAAGAATACTAGAAATGTTAATCAAGAAGTCCCCTCGTGAGGCTGGAGTTGTGGCTCAGTAGTATAGCACTTGCCTAGCATGTGTGAGGCACTGGGTTTGATTATCAGCACCACATATAAACAGATAAATAAAATCAATTATACTTATTTTTTTAAAAAAAGAGAAGTAAGGCCAGGCGTCATGGCACATCCCTATAATCCCAGAGGCTCAGGAGGCTAAGGCAGGAAGATCATGAATTCAAAACCAGCCTCAGTAAAAGCAAGGTCTTAAGCAACTCAGTGAGATCCTATCTCTAAATAAAATACAAATATGGCTGGGGATATGGCTCAGTGGCCAAGTGCTCCTGAGTTCAATCCCAGTACCAAAAAAAGAAGTCCCCTAGTAAGTAGATTAAAAAAAAAAAAAAAAGATGAAAATTTGAAAAGAAGTTAGAATTTAAAGAGCCAGTTTCAGGGCTGGAGGGCTCAGTGGTAGAGCACATGCAGAGAATGCACAAGACATTGGGTTTGATCCCCAGTACCACATATACACATTTAAGAGCCAGTTTATGCCAGATATGGTAGCATGTGCCTGAGAGTCTAGTGACTCTGGAGGCTGAGGCAGGAGGATCCCAAGTTCAAGGCCAACCTCAGCAACATAATGAGGCCATGTCTCTCAAATTAAAAAAAAGGGGGGGGAGGGGCTCAGTGGTAAATCCACTGAGTTCAATCCCCAGTACCAAAAAAAAAAAAAAGCAAAAAAAAAAAAAAAAGCTAGTTCATGAAGTTCAAAAGCAACAACACATAATAAGAGTTTCTTTCTTTTTTTGACAAATATAGACATTATGTAATGTTCAAATCATGGTAAGCATGTCTATCTCCTCGAATGTAGTTTCCTTATGGTGAGAAAATTGAGCATTTATAGACTGATCTTGACCATCGTGAAAAGGAAGATTTGGAAATGTTAAGTAAACATTGTGACCTTTGCCGGTGAATGGATGGAACTGGAGACTATCATGCTAAATGAAATAGTCCCCAAAGGTCAAAGGTTTTCTCTGCTATGTGGACACTAATCAAAAGAAGGTGGAGGGGGATTAAAAAAATAATAGAAGAAATATCAGTGGAGTAGACCAAGAGAAATGAAGGGGAGGGAAGAGGGTTGGGGTTGGGAAAAAGAGTGGAATGAATCTGACCTAACTTTCCTACATATATATATTTTTATATATATGAAAATATCCCAATGAATCTCACCATCATGTACATCCACAAGACACTAATTTTTTCTTTAAGTAAGTAAATAGCAGAAAGATCAATAGAGAGAAGGAAACATGGGGAGGGAGGTGGAGAAGGGAAGGGGAAATACGGGGGACGAATTAGAGCAAATTATATTCTGTGCTTTTGTAATGATGTCAAAATAAATTCTCTTGTCATGTATAACTACAAAGAACCAATAAAAAAATAAATGCTAAGTAAAAAAAAAAAAATATATATATATATATATATATATATTATTTACATTTTAGTTTTCGGCAGACACATCTTTGTATGTGGTGCTGAGGATCGAACCCTGCCGCACCCATGCCAGAAGAGTGCGCTACCGCTTGAGCCACATTCCCAGCCCCCATAATAATAGTTTCCAAATAGAACAAGATAAAAAGTAAGGAGGGTCAGACAACCAAAGACTGGAGTAGAAAGAAAGTGACTAAAGCCCTTAGAACTGCTTAGGCTAATAGGAGCCTTGGAAATAAAATTGTTTGATTTTCTTTTCTTCTTTTTTTTTTTTTTTTTTGGCAGTACCAGGAGCACTCTACCACTGAGTTATATCTTCAGCCCTTTTTAAAATTTTATTTGAGACAGAGTCTAAGTTGCAGAGGCTGGAACTCAGCCTCCAGAATTACTGGGATTTGGGAAAGGGGCTGGGAGCACCAAGTTCTGCCCTGAAGGTTTCATCTTTTCTACCAGTTTTCCCAATAATTTTGACTCAAAGCCTGTGCATACCTGGGGAGAAGGTTTTCGGTAGAAGTGTTTAAGCTGTTCATAGGGCAGAGGGAGTTGCTGGCGTTGGTACATGATATGCTTTAAAAGTTCACAAGTAAACCGACAGCAGCCTTCCTGGCTTACAGGCCCAGGAAACACCACTGGTACCAAGCAGTCTCTGGAGCAAAAGGGCTCCGAAGGGTTGGAAGGTTCCTGGGCAGAGGTGGTCTCAAGTAGATCTATCTGAGTGGCGTTGGTTTCTTCCGACTTCTCATACCACTCCAAATCTAGTGAGGGAAAAGGATAAAAAGTGAGAAAAAATTAAAAATTTAAGAGGTCAAAGTTAGTCTTCTCATTCCTGATGGTCACCATATCAGCCACTGTGAAGGGGGGACCCGGAGGCACGGATATAATCTTGGCAACCTCCTGCGTGGGAAGATTCCTGATCCCTGTCTAAAGTGACTTGAAAGATGGCAGCAGAGTAGAGGGGATTTCGGAGGCAATGACTAACGCTCCGCTCGCGGCGGACCCCGACCTGGGAAAATGAGTCCAAAGTGTGGTTAAGCGGGGTTCAGAACCCTGAAAGTAAGACAGAAAGCGAATCAACTCGACGCAGCGGAGGGAGTCGAGCCCGATTGGGGCGGAGCACCCGCATAGGGTAGACGGGCCGAAGAAAGGGCCAAGGAAGGGACTGACAGGCGGCAGAAGGCAAGAAACACGTCCTCAAGGCTCCCCAAGCTCTGGACCCCAGGCCTTACCAGGGACTGCAGCAGGGGACAGCACTTTCGGCTCCGCCGCCGCCATCACCACTGACTCCCTCTGCTCCCTGCGGTTAGAATGGGCGCCCTGCGGAGCATCATGGGACGTTCGGACTCCACATCCGGTTCGGCTGGACCGGAAGCAAGCAAAGCGCCACCGCCCTGAGTTAAAGGCCGGGCGGAGTTCAGAGTTGAGTTCTGCCCTCAGCTCTTGCAAACCCTGCTACGGATATGCCTTGCCCTTCCCCCGCAGGAAACCAGGCCCTCTCGGCCACTGGGCTCTGCCTTCTAAAGGATACCGCACTCACGCATCCATTCCCTCCTGGGTTCACTATTCACTGTCCATCTGCTTTGTGTCCAGGCTCAGGCTTTGTGCTGCCAGGCTCAGTCGCAAACAAGTCAGGCGCGCCAGCTACAGATATTTAGGAACTCCATTTGGAATAGAGATAGGTATTTGACAGTCCTCGGTATGGAAGTGGATAAGATCACGCAGGAAAAGCATATAAAATGAGAATGGGGTAGGATACTGAAAATATTAATGTTTATGAGATGTTGAGAACAACCTGTGGAAGAATCTGTACCCACATAAGTATAAAGAAGAATAGACAAGTTCAGATCATGGAGACCAAGGGAAAGGTATATTTTAGGAAGCAGGGAATAGAGGTCAAAATAACTATAAAAGTACAATGGTTAAAATACTGTGATACTGGGCTGGGGAGATAACTCAGTGATAGCATGTACAAGACCCCAACACCACAAACCAACCAAACAAAAACACAGTAGTTTTGGCCCAAGAATAAACAAGAGTTCAGAAACAGAATCTGAATTGGACTCAAAGTCCCAGTGACTCAGGAGGCTGAGACAGGAGGATCATAAGTTCAAGTCCAGTCTCAGCAACTTGGCAAGTCCCTAAGCAACTTTGTGCCCAAAATTAAAAAAAAAAAAAAAAAAGGGTGGGGGGGGCTAGGGATGTGCCTCAGTGGTTAAGCACCCATGGGTTCAATCTACAGTACCCAAATAAATAAATAAATAAATAAAATCTGTATATGTAGTCTAATGGTGACTTTTCAAAGCAAATAATGTGAGACAACTGTATCTATTTAAAAATTGAGGGCTGGGGATGTGGCTCAAGCGGTAGCGGGCTCGCCTGCATGTGTGTGGCCCGGGTTCGATCCTCAGCACCACATACAAACAAAGATGTTGTGTCCGCCGAAATTGAAAAATAAATATTAAAAAAGAAAAAGTTCTCTCTCTCTCTCTCTCTTTAAAAAAAATATAAAAATAAATAAAATTGATTTTGGTCTATCATACACTACAAAAAAATAAATTCCAAATGAATTAAATATCTAAACATAAAAATAAACCTCAAAGCAAGCTGGACGTGGTGGCACAAGCCTGTAATTACAGCTACTTGGGAGACTGAGACAGGAGGATCACAAATTCCAGGCCTGTCTGGGCAACTCAGCAATATCCTTTCTCAAATTTTTTTTAATATTTATTTTTTAGTTATCGGTGGGCACAACATCTTTGTTTGTATGTGGTGCTGAGGATCGAACCGGGGCCGCACTCATGCCAGGCGAGCACGCTACCGCTTGAGCCACATCCCCAGCCCCCACCTTTCTCAAATTTTAAAAAATATAAAAACCTCAAAAAAAACTACTAGAAACAGACTGGGGGCATAGCTCAGTGGCATACCATGTTCTTAGCATGTACTAAATCCCTGGATTTGATCCTTGGGGTGAAGGGATGTTGCTCCTAGAAGAAATATTGGGGAATAATGTATAATCTAGGAGTGAGTTGGCTTAGGGATGACACAAAACCAAGGAAGCATAAAGAGAAAGATTGCTGTCTGAATTCAAAACATATACAAAGGTACTATACACAGAAATTAGTGACTAATTACAGAGCAGGAAAAATGCTTGCATGTGACCTGTGTATCCATATATGGGATATATATATCCCATAGCCAACCACCTCATAAGCAATCCTTCCAGGAACCTAATCACACACACCACTTTCCATTGCCCAGGATCCTGATCTCCTGAACAGATATTCCTGTTCAGGCTACTTCTCTGCCAGCCTTCACTTCTATTTGTGGTAGGTAAGGTTGTTTAAGAATGGGCTCTCAGAATGGGTTATCTTCTGCTATCTTTTAAAAGAAATTCTCCATACAGGAGTCAAGGGGATTGGAATGAATGAAGTAAAATTGTGTGTGTTGGGCTTGGCTGCTGAAAGATCCATGTACATGAAAAGATGGGTGTTATCAGTCAAGTGCAGCAGGCTCTGGGTATCAAAAGGAACCAGAACTGGTTGTAGTGATAATGTTGGGGTGTGGGTTTATCTCTTGCTTCCCATCCCAATCCTTTTTGAGCTCTGAGTTTTCTACTCTCAGTCTCTAACAGCAGTTTTCCTAGTGCCCCTATGCCCTTGTTAGTGTTCACCTCTACAACATAGCCTTTCCCTCAACCACACAGGATTTCAAAGAGTCACATAAGCCTTCAGCCATTGAAGACCCATATAATTGGCTGGACATGCTAGGTCCATAATTGCTGACTTTAGTCCTTCTGCTCTCACTGCTTTGGGGAGTTATGCCATGTGGACAGTAACTGTGTCATCAGTAGACCTGCCTCTCTCTATGTGGACCCAGGAAGAAGCCATGGACTCCACCAAGTCTGAACCCCTACAGGGATCACCAGAGGTAAGTCACTGTTGCTGCTTTTAGTTTTCCAAGGAAAACTGAGGTCTGAAGGCACAAACTGTTTTATTTCCTGGCTGTGTATGAACATCTCCTTGTTTGTAAAGAGAGGGAAATGTGAGAAGTGAGTCATGAAACAGCCATAGGGCTGGGAATTGAACCCTGGCGTCCTGACTCCCAGCCCAGCAATTCTAACTGCTTCTCCACCCTGTATTTCTGGTGTCTTGTACACTGTTTTGTCGCTGGATGTGTTTACTCTATGTGTTTATTCTATGCTGACTGAGTCCTAAAGAGAAGGGGAGAGGTCTTGGCAAGAAAGTCGAAAGTCAAAAGTCAACAATACCCTGGGGCCCTGGGCCAAGTTTCTATTCCCGGGCACTTCCCCTGCCCTCGCGGTGGTTGATGTAACCCGAGCTCCAGTCCCGCCCCAAGTAGAGGCCGAGCCCCTCCTACAGCCCTGGCAGTTTTAAAACCAAGCTCAGTTCTCCAGGATTGGTTCGGCCTCAAAACAAAGGGGACGGGGATACTTGCGGCGGGCAGCTGGCTGGTTTATAGGTTCAGGTCTCGTGTCGGGGCCACCGCGGGGCCTGAGGCTGCTAAAACCAGCCCCCGGACGGTGCCAGCCCAGTAATAAAGCAGTGACTACTGTGTAAAGGTGGCATAATCATCGCCACAAAACTTCCGTAATTAGGCTAAACACCATTCGCCTCCGCCCTGGCGTTCGCCCTGACTCACCCCGACAGCACGCCGGCCATCGGGAAAGAAAACAAGCAGAGGTGGACCTGGCAGGCTGGAGGGACCAGTCTCCCGGAATTCTGCCGCTCTCTAGGTCCAAAACCTGTTGTCTGGCATCCGCAGTAAGAGGTCATAACCAGGGGGGTCCACAAAGCTCGATTCTGATGTAAGCCCTTCTCTGCCGGTGACCGCCCAGATCCTCAGGCCTCGGGGCTTTCAACTGCCCGCGCCCCAAGCCCTAGAAAAAGACCGCTCTGAGCGCGGGCACTGGGAACCGGACTACAACTCCCTTCGGCCTTTGCGCGCAAAGGCGCGCTCCTTGTCCACGCCCCGAAGCCACCTGTGGCTCCTTGCGCCGCGATGCCTCCTGGAAGCTGTAGGGCGGCGGCGCGCTCTTTTAAGAGAGGTCCAAGGCCCGTGGACTCGATATCCCGTGGTGCCCCGCGGCTGTTTCTGACGCGACCTGGAGGCCAGGGGAGGTGGGGGCGTGGCCTGCACAGCGCCCCACCCCGCTCTCCTCTGGCTGGCCGACGCGGCGGTGGCAGTAGGGGCGGCGGCGGCGGCGGTGGTGGTGGCAGGGGGGAGGGGTCGGGCGGGGGGCTGGCGGCAGCGGCGAATGGACTCGCGGGTATCTGAGTTATTCGGCGGCTGCTGCCGGCCCGGAGGGGGCCCGGCTATGGGCGGAACCCTCAAGGCTAGGGGGGCCGGCGGCAGTAGCGGCTGCGGGGGCCCGAAGGGTAAGAAGAAGAACGGAAGAAACAGAGGGAGCAAAGCCAACAACCCCCCGTACCTGCCCCCTGAGGTGAGCCCCTAAGAAGTGACTGGGCGAGAGGAAACTACTCCTCCCGTCTCGGGACTCTAGGGAGGCGGGACAGAGAATTGGCCCCCCTTCCGGTGTCAAGACCCCAGAGAGGAGGGGTAGGGAAAAAGAACCGCTCCTTCCGGTCCCGGGACCCCGGGAAGTATGTTAGAGACTTCACGTACCCTCCGGGAGAGTGCTTACCTCGATTACCCCAGAAGGAGAAATGGGGAAAGGGGATCCCATCCCCCTGGGAAGAGGAGGGTAGAACGTTCCCACCCGCTTGCCTGTGCTGCAGCTGGAACGAGGAGGCAGGCAGAATAACCACTACTTTTTCTAAACTTGTTGCGCAGGGAGGAATGGAGTAGCCTGGAAAAGAGCAATACGTTCCCTCTGTATCCCTCAGTATACATACACATAAAACCAGACAACAGTTAGACTTCGTCCTCTGCCCTTTGCCTGTCCTATGACAGGGTGGGGACAGGGAAGAACCTCCACACACAGGCACCATCTGTTCTTATGTCAGAAAGTGACTACTTTGTTCCTACCTCTCAAGATAGGAGGGCCCAGGAAAAAAAGCCTAAATCAGTGGTTACCACACTTTAGTGCGCCAGAGTCACCAGGATTGCTGGCTCCACTCCTAGAATTTCTGACTCAATAGGTAAGGGATGGACCTGAGAATTTGTACTTCTTACCAGTTCCCTTGTGATGCTAATGCTTCTGGACCTGGGAGCACACTTTGAGAACCACTGGTCTAGATTGTTATCTTTATGCCACATTTCTGATGCCAGCCTTCCTAATTCTCTATTTCTAGCAAAAAATGATAAAAAGATTTCTGGAAGGTCTTTGTTGATGGGGAAAATTTCCCTTATACTCCATGGGATGGAGATTATAGGTGAAGACCACCTATTAGGGCCTTGAAGGGATAGAATGATACAGAAAGGAAAGAGGAGGAGTGTAGAAATTGAGAATGACAGAACAGGCAAAATCCATAACCTTTTGCATTGGAGAAGAGAAGCCTCAGGCAAAAGGATGCTTCTGTGCTGTGCTACCACCTGGAAGAGGGGATATTCGTGATTTCACCTCAACTGAGGCATGAGGTTTAGTGGACAGGAGGCAAGAGCCATAGGGAGTCAAGTTTATGGAGCCTGTCCCCTTTATTACATTTTCTAAGTTCTTTTGTTTGTCTTAACCCCATTTTTGGAGTTCTGCACCTCTCATACCTGGGGCTTTCTTTCTTATTCCACTTGTAGTGACCAGTGATGAGCTCACCCTTTGGCCCTGGTCCAGAACCTCTTGCAGCTTCTTACATTTGGTAACATCAGCTGAGAGGGAGGGCAGGAAGGAAATGGTGTCTCCCAGATCAGTGGCAAAGAAAGGCTTTAACAAGCCAGGCATGGTGGTGCATACCTGTAATCCCAGCTTCAGGAGGCCGAGGCAGGAAAATTTCAAGTTTAAGGCCAACCTTGGCATCTTAGCAAGGCCCTGTCTCAAAAATAAAGAAAAAAAAAATACTGGCTCAGTGGTAGAGCACCCCTGGGTTCAATCCTCAGCCTTGAGGAAAAAAGAAGCAGCAGCACCCTGTACACAGAGAAAACCTACAGAACAGGAAGTAGTAGTTTTATGTCCTGGGGAGAAGTATGGGTTGACCTTGCATCCAAGAAGAGCATCATGCCAGTGAGTGAAAGAGAAAAGGACTCCAGAATTTTGTTCTTTGCTTAAATGGATGATTTGCTGTGTCCTTAATAGGCCTTTCCTTCAGAGGGGTCACTTGGAGTTGGGTTGAGGAGTTGTCTGCCACTGACTTTCTCAGGTCCTTGCCTAAGCAGATGCTGCTGGGGCTTCCTGCTCTCTCTGCCTGGGCCTAGAGAGAATGGAGGGAAAAGTGGCAATTCAGTCTGGACAGCGTATGGTAACTGCTCCCTGCTTCTTTTCAGGCTGAAGATGGAAACATCGAATATAAAGTGAGTCTTAGGCTGGGGAGGAGCAGAGGGTCGGGTAGGTTGCCCTTGTCATTGAAATCTGAGATCCTTCCAACTTCATGTTCTTTAGCAATTTAGCAATGTGGTTTGGGTAAAGTCTCTACCTCATTTCTGTTGGAGGGGGACTCACTGTTAAGTACCAAGGGAAAGAGGTTTAGGTGGGAAGGGAAGGTCCTAGTCCTTGGGGCAGGACAGGTGGGTACCATGGGGTTTATGATTTTACCTTCTCATGATATCCCATCTGCCCCTTAGCTGAAGCTGGTGAATCCATCCCAGTACCGCTTTGAGCATCTGGTGACACAAATGAAGTGGCGTCTCCAGGAGGGACGTGGTGAGGCTGTCTACCAGATTGGGGTTGAGGACAATGGGCTGCTGGTGGGGCTGGCTGAGGAGGAGATGCGGGCCTCCCTCAAGACCCTGCACCGGATGGCAGAGAAGTATGCTTCCCCCTCTTCCTCAGTTCTCCTTTACCTAACTCTGGGGAGGACCCACACATAGGCAGTTACCCAGGACCTCAGGGGCCAAGATGGGCTTTCCTTCTACAGTGGTCTCTTGACAAAGGGCTTTTTTGCTCCTTGATTTAAGATGTTTACTTGGTTGTTTTAGAAGAGCCATGAATACAGGATAGATTGGAGGGTGGTAGAAAGTACAATAAGGTATTAGGAGCTCTGTGTGTGTGTGGCGGGGGGTGTAGGAAGGTTGTTGTTCTAGAGCCAGGCTAGTATGCAGGGAGTATCTGTGAAGTATGGCAGCTGTGGCATTGCTGTGACAGGGTTGGAGCAGATATCACTGTTCTCCGGGAGCGAGAAGTGGATTATGATAGTGACATGCCCCGGAAGATCACTGAGGTGCTGGTACGAAAGGTTCCTGACAACCAACAGGTGAGCCTGTGTCCTTCCTGCCCCCATGCCCATACTCCCTGGGAGAGCCCTGTGGTGGCAGGCTTTTCCTGGCCTGGGATCCTGGCATCCAGATCATTCTGTTGCTCCACAGGAGCATCACCACCCTTGACTTAGGCTTCAGTAAGAAAGGGATTGGAGCCCTTACCTAATACAATTTGTCCACAGTTCCTAGACCTCCGTGTGGCTGTCCTGGGGAATGTGGACTCAGGGAAGTCAACCCTGCTTGGAGTCCTGACCCAGGGAGAGCTGGACAACGGGCGGGGCCGGGCCCGGCTCAACCTTTTCCGACACCTGCATGAGATTCAGTCTGGCCGAACCTCCAGTATCAGCTTCGAGATCCTGGGCTTTAACAGCAAGGGAGAGGTGCATGGGATCAACGGGACCCAGTGGGGCCAGACTCTGAGATGGGATGGCAGAGGTGAAGGACAGAGGTTGGGGGCTGAGTGTGGAGACTTTTTGTAATAGTATAGATGAAGGCCCTGAGGGCACTGAACAAGTTTTTCTCTTAGAAAACAAATGGGGAATCAACTGAACTAATTAGAAAATGGGGCTCAGGATTAAGAGGCAGGGCCACCTAAATCCTGGTTTAGGTCCTGGCAACTCTTAAAGGGCTGGGGAGGCTCACAGGGGGCACTGAGAGCCCTGGGCCCTGGACTAGGTGGTGAATTACAGCGACTCACGGACCGCAGAAGAGATCTGTGAGAGCAGCTCCAAGATGATCACCTTCATCGACCTGGCAGGCCACCATAAGTATCTGCACACCACCATCTTTGGCCTCACCTCCTACTGCCCTGACTGTGCCCTGCTCCTTGTCAGTGCCAATACTGGCATTGGTAAGAGGTCTTGGGCAGGGAAAGGGGGTGCTTTCCCACTTTGGGAGCCAGCACTGATTCTTCTCTTCCCTCTCCTTCTTCCTATACTCTCATTCTTCTATCCTCCTGCCTGCCTTCTTTGAGACAGCTGGCACCACAAGGGAACATCTGGGACTGGCCCTGGCCCTGAAAGTACCCTTCTTCATCGTGGTCAGCAAGGTGGACCTATGTGCCAAAACTACAGTGGAGAGGACAGTACGCCAGCTAGAGCGGGTCCTCAAGCAGCCTGGCTGCCATAAGGTCCCCATGCTGGTTACCTCTGAGGATGATGCTGTCACTGCTGCTCAGCAGTTTGCCCAGTCACCCAAGTAAGCCTGCCTCATCTTAAAGCCCTGATTCATGGGAAAGAATGCTTTAGGGCCCAGGAACTTATCTTATCTCCAGAGCCAGATGGATTCTTGCTCAGTTCTATGACTTTTTCAATTTGGGACTGAGGGAGGAAGTCTTTTTAAAGGGATTGGCCCTTCCACTATGCCAACATGGAGTCTCACTGATGCCTAGAATCCTATAGACATTTACTGTCTCCCTTGAGCTGGGGGCTGGGCTTCACATGTCATATTCCTTGGCTTGCTCACAGCCAGAAGAGAGGGCCCCTCAGCTGTCCAGACAAAAGCTCACCTTTCAATGTGTGGGCCCTTGGCCTCTGCCTTCTGGACTTCCCTCGTCTTCTCATTCCATCCCTTTCTCCATAGTGTCACCCCTATCTTCACACTGTCCAGTGTGTCTGGAGAGAGTCTGGATCTCCTTAAAGTCTTCCTGAATATCCTGCCTCCCCTGACCAACAGCAAAGAACAGGAGGAGCTTATGCAGCAGTTGACGGAATTTCAGGTAGTTGGCCAAATAAACAGGTAGAAGGGGTTAGGGGGAAGGGGCCAGTTCTAACCAGTCCCAGAGCCTATTCAGAGAAGCTGGACCTGCTAGCCCTACTTAGGAGGACATTGATAGTTTTCTTTGGCTCCAGGTGGATGAAATCTACACAGTGCCAGAGGTGGGGACTGTTGTTGGAGGGACACTTTCCAGGTGAATTGCCTTGTTTGCTACCCACCCCACTCAGCCCTCACATGCCCCTGTACTCGGAGACATCCTGGCCCAAAGGAGGAGATCCTAGAGTTGAACAGAGCCCATCTACAAAATACGCTTGTTTGCAAATTAGGCTTTCACTCTCAGAAGTACTGGCAGGAGCTAGTCTATTGGCTTATTGCTGCATGCTGGGAATCTCCAGACCCAAGTGAGATGTGTCATGGGCCCCAGGAAGAAATCTAGACTGTATTCAACTGATCTCATCTCAAAAGTATGAAATGAGAAAATGACTCTTTGCAAAGCAGAGGGTGAAACCCAAGAGAAAAATTTCCCCTTTCAGGGATCAGGTGTTCAGTGTTACCAACCCAGCAGGTACCTCTCTGCCAGATGTCACTGCTGACCTTTTCTGGCATTAGCCTTTATTGTCTGAACTAAGGATCAGGCAAGGAAGTCATCGCTCCTGTCTCCAAATCTGAAATTAGGATTTCCTTCCCCTTACTTGAGGGACTCAACCCCAGAAGGGAAAAATTGCTCTGGGTGTCTCTAGCAGAGAAGTAAGAGACCTACGCTGACACTGTGCCACCTTCCCTCTGGGCTGCAGTGGGATTTGCCGTGAGGGGGACCAGCTGGTGGTTGGCCCCACAGATGATGGCTGCTTCCTGGAGCTGAAAGTGTGCAGCATCCAGCGCAACCGCTCTGCCTGTCGTGTGCTGCGAGCTGGGCAGGCTGCTACATTGGCCCTTGGGGACTTTGACCGTGCACTGCTTCGCAAGGTGAGGTGTGTGAGTGGGATGGAGAGGGAGTGCACAGAGAAGTGCCTTGGTCTGGCTAATGAGTAAGGAGCTCCCTTCTAGAGTGCTTCAGAGAAACGCAAAGGAAACATGGTCTCTTAACCCAAGAAGCTTAAGGTTTGTTTATTATACAGACTGTATGAAAATGGTTTAGAATCCTTATGAAGAGCAGATCACTAAGTTGAATCACTGTGCAAAGTGAATGTCCAGGACACTAAACATACAAAGCTTTGAAGGGTTAGAGGTAAATAAGAGTACCTACCAAAAGGAGAATTTGAAATATTATCTTGTGAGGTCTATGTGTTTGGAGTCATGTAAAAGAAAAGGAAATTCAGGAGCTGTAAAGAGGTTGGGAGGGCTGGAAAGGGTGAGTCTAATGCTAGATCTGCCCTTCCTGGGCCTGGGGACTGTGCCTCCCCAGGGCATGGTGATGGTGAGCCCCGAGATGAATCCCACCATCTGCTCAGTGTTCGAGGCAGAGATAGTCCTACTGTTCCATGCCACCACCTTCCGACGAGGATTCCAAGTGACAGTACATGTGGGCAACGTACGTCAGACAGCAGTGGTGGAAAAGATCCATGCCAAGGTGAGAGGGACCCAGTCATGCCTCCCTTTCTCCAGGGAAAAGTCAAGAATTCTCCCTCCAGAAGGGAGGGAAGCCCAATCTCAGACTTGGCAGAGCTCCCTGATCCCATGAAGGAAACAAAAAAGCCTTACTTAGGGTGGGAAGCAGCCCACCCATAGGTCCTGAGGGTGGAGAGCCAATGCTAGTAGAGAATGGGATGGGAGGCACTGGCCAGGGCAGTGACTGCTTATCTGCTGCAGGACAAGCTGCGGACAGGGGAGAAGGCAGTTGTACGTTTCCGCTTCCTGAAACACCCAGAGTACCTGAAGGTGGGCGCCAAACTGCTGTTCCGGGAGGGTGTCACCAAGGGCATCGGCCATGTCACTGATGTGCAAGCCATTACAGCAGGAGAAGCCCAGGCCAATATGGGTTTCTGAATCCTCCAGGCAGTGACAGCTCTATTGCTGCCCCTACAATATATAAGGTGACTTCTGGCCATGCTGCCCCCTGTTGGCAGCTTTGTGTGTTAATAGGCTAGGGAGAGAGGGTGCCCTCTGCCATTTGCTTCCTGCCACCTTTGGAGAGGTGTCAAGCCTGGTTGGCCAGGGAGGGGCAGTCCTGAGGGAGAAGACAGAAATCAGGGCAGTGTTCAGCAGCTGTGTGCCCACCTGGTTGGCTCAATCCTGGCAACTCCATGGCCTGTCTACTGGAGGGAGCTGACTACAGCCACCTTGGCCCCACTCCCAGGACTGGTTGTGACTCACCAGTATGATCCCTGCACTTCAGGAATTGTCACAACTGGGGTGGTCCTCGAAAGCACTCCTTTTTCTATACCTCGTTCTCAAGGCCACGTAAGTTGCCCATCTCTACCTGACTGTGGACAAAAGACATTGCTCTTGGCCATCTGGTGGCCCAGGGTCTGAAGAAATGGCACAGGAACAGCAAATGGCAGTGCTCCCACTCTGTGCTGAGACCCAAGGCCTGTTCCTGAGCTTTATCTCCTTTCCTTTCTTCCCGCAGGGCCATTTCCCCAGCTCCTCTGATAAGCCCCACAGGTGCTATTTATTATGCTGGTCCAGGCGTGGGGCTGCCAAGCTAAGACTTGGCATACCAAAGGCCAGCTGCATGTCAGTCTTGTCCTTTTCTCTGCAATCATCTGACTTTCATCAAATAGTGGTTTTTTTCCCCCCCAGACTGGTGGCTGGGGGACCTGACCCACAGTTCCACATCCTACCATCCTCAACCCCACTTCTTGCTCCCATATAAACTTTCTCATTTCAGTAATTTGTAGTGACCATACCCTTCCCTCTATCGCAGGGAACCAGGAGGAAAGGGAAAAATGTTGCCATATTTCCTACTCTTTAGGCATGGACTCCCTCCTTTCCATTTATTAGTGTCCTGGGTTCCCATGGACTCAGGGATTTGTTGATTGAAGTTTCTCTGCATATATATATATATGTATATATATATATATTTAAGTACACATATATATTGTAAAGAATAAAAAATGTTTTATTGAGTATACTGTACTTATGCTTAAGACACAGGTTCAGCTTACAGAGTTAGCTTCCTCTCTAGGATTAGAGACAAGTGAAACCCTATCATTGCTGAGCCCTGAATGGGGAAAAGATTCATCCTATATCTCATTTGCCATTCTTTTCCTCTCTCTCACATATTGGTCTTTTGTTTGTTTTGGTACCAGGGATTGAACTCAAGGGCGCTTAACCACTGAGCCACAATCCCCAGCCCTATTTTATATTTAAGAGACAGGGCCTCAATAAGTTACTGAGGCTGGCTTTAAACTCAGTTCTCTTGCCTCAGCCTCTCAAGCCACTGAGATTACAGGCATGTGCCACAGTGTCCAGCCTTCTCCCACACATTGGGTCCATGTTCTCTCCTGCTTTTCATAGTTCTTTGAGTAAGCAAAGCTAAACAGCTTTTCAGCTCAAATAGGCAGCTATACTATATTTGAAGACTTCAATACTTGTTAGCAGCTCAGTGGTAAGGACAGATTTAATCAGATTTGGAGATTAGAATGCCAGCTGGTTAAAAAAAAAATTATTTTTTTTGGTGGTATTGGGGATTGAACCCAGAGGTGCTTGACCACTGAGCAACATCCCTAACCCTTCTTTTTGTGTGTGTGTGCGTATGGTGCTGGGAATTGAACTCAGGGCCTTGTGCATGCGAGGCAAGCACTCTGCCAACTGAGGTATATCCCCAGCCCCCTAGCCCTTCCTATTTTTTTTTTTTTAGAGAGAGAATTTTTAATATTTATTTTTTAGTTCTCGGCGGACACAACATCTTTGTTGGTATGTGGTGCTGAGGATCGAACCCGGGCCGCAGGCGTGCCAGGCGAGCGCGCTGCCGCTTGAGCCACATCCCCAGCCCTAGCCCTTCTTATTTTGAAACAGGGTCTGAATTCCTGAAGCTGGCCTAAATTATGATCCTCCTGCCTCAGTTCTCGAGTTGCTGGGATTATAGGCATGCACCGCCCTGCCTGGCAAGTAATTAGGCACACTTTTCAGGTTTGTAGAACCTAAACTAGATTCTTGGAGCTGTGGGAGCCACCTGGCCAAACCTCACTCCCTCTTCCTATTTCTATATTTTCATGTTATGGGTAAAGAAACAGGGCCTAAGGCTAAAATAAACTGCAGAAAACAGGGACTACATTTGGGCACTAACCCTGGCAAAGAAATATAATGATATATGTGGCCCAAGGTCCTATGTGGCATTCCGCTTCTAAAGTATTAAATAGCTACCACTCAGGGACAGCTGCTGCTTAAAATACTTAACGTGTTACTAAGAGGCTGTGGTTAAAGAACTTCCTTCTATATCAGGAGCTAAGAGTGTTTACTTCTTTTTGAACATTTGCTGATAGTGAAGAAGGAAAGGATATATGCAGCAAAACTTAATATAGCTCTCCCCCTAGCACTGACCTTTGCACGCCTGTCTGCTCTCCCCTTCACAGCTCAAACTGGGTTAGGGCTAGGATTTCCAAGAAAACACAAGTTGTGCTGTAAGTATTACTATTGGTCATCTACTAGCCACCCTCCCCTACCCTGTAGAAGTTCAATGAAACTTCTACAGTTGGGCCTGTAGAAGTTCAATGAAACCTAAGTTTCTACCACATCACATTTCTGTACAAAAGTTTATTCAGTTTGATCTATTGAACAGCAAAAAAGAAGCTTCACCTTGTTTTTACTTATCTTTTCTAGATTAAGAAGGGAAATGTTGGAAAATCATGTCTCAGTACTTAGTATCCATCTCCAGGAACTAGTGAGCCACTCTGCTATGTTAATGGAACATTTAGGGGGATAAAGTGTATAAGGCAGATCCTGAAGGAGTTTGTAACTTTTTATTGTCCCAGATATTCAACCAAGGAATATTAAGCACTTGTTATGTGCAAGGCACTGTGAAGAATTCCTGCCTTTAAGAAACTACAAATCTAGTAGAGAAAAAGCAATGTACCCAGTGAATTACTGTGAGTTCCCTTAGAAAAGGAAAAAACAGTTTCTTGCTAGATCCTGTGGTTTTCAAACAAATTAAATACAAGTCTAATTAAAAAAATAAGTTAAAAAGTATAAGATGATTTGTATATACAAATATTTAGTACTTGGTAAGCTATGGCACCAGTGACTCCAGAGGCTGAGGCAGGCTGAGACACGTTCAAGGCCAACCCTGGGCAACTTAGACCTTGTCTAAAAAAAAAGGGCTATGGATGTAGCTCAGTGGTAGGTGCACCCCCTAGGTTCAGTCCCCATGCCCCCGTAACCTACCACATCATTTTCAGTTGGTTCCATGTATAATTCAAGGTTTCTGTTTTCAGAGAAACTCAAAAGAACTGGGATGTGGCTCAGAGAAAGAGTGCTTGTCTGGTATGTTGAAGGCCCTAGATGGACCCATAGCACCCCATCCCCAATACTATAAGCATGGACAAGTTCAAAAGCTATAATAATAGCCCTAAACACTTATACTTTAATAAGAAGAGATCAACATACTAGTGACCCTAAAATCCCAAGCAAGCATTTACCTCTTAAATTTGCACTCAGTGTTAAGGAAATATTCTCTAGTATTTTCTAGATTAGCATTTCTAAAATGACACACATTGGGAGGTCTTAATATATAGGTCTTGATTGTTTCTTGGTGATGCTGTTCTTGGGGAATAGCAAGGTTCTAGAGATGATCTTGATTGTGACTTATCCAAACAGGCTTTCTGAACTAGCACAGGAGCAATCTCATTCTACGTTAGAATAAAATGTAGAGGTATAAGGGCCAGTAGCTAAAATAGGCTAATAGCTTTACTTGTATGAAATTAGGTGGTAATCTAGCAGCTTTTATATGAAGAGCCCTCCCTAAACTAGTTACCACTTTCAGGGTTTCAAGTCCTCAGGCATTGTCTGAACTGTTGCAAAGGTAGGAAGATTTTGGATTGGTTTAGGGATTGAGCCCAGGGACACTTAACCACTAAGTCACATCCTCAGCCCCAATCCTTCCCCTCTCCCCGCACCCCACCGCTTTTTTTTTTTTTTTTAAACTTCTGGTACTAAGTTGTTTAGACTCACTTTGAACTTCCAGTCCTGTCTCAGACTTGAGCCCCTGGGATTATAGCATTTTTTGAGAAAGGGTCTCACTAAGTTGCTAAGGCTGACTTTGAATTTGTGATCCTCCTGCTCTGCCTCCTGATTCACTGGGATTAAGGCCAGTTTTGGTTTTTTTAACCATTTTTACTCAGTTTCTTTTTAAGCCAGTGTGTGTGTTTGTCTTTTTGTGGTACCAGGAATAGAACTCAGAGGATTATATCCCCTACCTCTTTTATTTTTTGCAACAGTGTCTTGCTAAATTGCTGAGGCTGGTCTTGAGCTTATGATCATCCTGCCTTAGCCTCCCCAGTAGCTGCCATTACAGGTGGAACATCTTCTATAATCTCTAAGGTAATTATCTCAGTTTTTCAGTTGAGGAACTGAAGTAACTTGCTTAAAGCTATACTCAGAAATTGAGGCAGAAGAAAGTTTGGGATCAGGTCTCATAGGTTCCAAGCCCACACGCTTTTTGCTGTGTGACACCTTAAAAACAAAAAGGATGAATTTTTTACAATTTGGTGGGGATAGGGGAGACTGAGAACTTAACCAGGGGCTATTTACCATTGATCTACAACATCCCCTGGCCTCCCCCCCACACTTTTTATTTTTTTAAAGAGACAGGGTCTTGCTAAATTGCTGAGGCTCACCTCAAATTGGTAATCCTCCTTCCTCAGAACTGTAAACATCCTAACTTGGGAGGCTATCAGCAATGGGATTAAAATCCCATGAGAAGAGATAGGACCTTAACCCAGTACCTAACATAATTATTTTTTAAACTAAAAATTTCATTGTTATGGATTTCCTTACTTGCACCTTTCAGGCAGTGGATAAAATATTAAATTCCTTCAGCAAGCCTGAGGGCAGCACTAATGTGTTAATGGCTTAAAAAATGATTCCAATGTCTGCATGCCCTCAGGCCTGGGGCGTTTATTACTGGAGGACAAAGGGCTCTTGGAATTTCTTTTGCCTTGAGTCATAGCAGAAAGAACTTGGGGTTTTGAGGAATGGGGCTGCAAAAATGATTTCTGCAACTCCACTGCAAAATGATAGTCCATATGTTCTGGCATCTCCCATACTAATATCAGGGAGCCACACTTCTCACAGGGCACTTGGTCCTCAGCAGCTAGAAGACTAGGGGTGGTAGCTACCTTTGGGGCTACCTCCACAGACTTGGAAGCTAAAAATGTAAGGATATTTGAGCTGTTCTGGGCTAAATCAATCTCTGTAGAAACTTCTTTGGAGGAGTCTAGCTTCAATGCTCCTTTACAAACAGGGACAACATCTGAATATTCTGCTGGGAAATGATTTGTTAACCCTTTAAAGTTGGACTGAAGGTTTTGTGGAGGGGAAGAAACTGAAGAATTAATATGCTGTTTCTGCTCTAGAAGCAAACTTTTCTGCTTGAAGAAGGACTCGGTTCCTGTAGTATGACGCATTTGAAAAAATGAGGGCTTGGATGTTGAATTGCTCATGGGGGCCTGAGTAGTAGCACTAAAAGATGAAAATGAAGCTTCTTTGACTTTCTGCTTTTCTGCAGCTTTCTTTTCTGCAGCTTTTTGGAAGAATGACTCCAGAGAGGTGGTTGCTTTCTTAGTGGCTGTTATTGCTGGGCCACTTCCCTGGGTCTTAGCTTCTGAGCTGGTAACTGGCATCTTTGGCAGAGAGCTTGAGTTGCCGCTCAAGAACATGGTGATGTCTGTGCAAGATGAAGTTGTAGAGGCAGAGAATTTGGTAGCACAGAGGAAAAGCATTGTGAGTGGAGGGGACCTGTATACAAAGGAAAAGAATAAGGAGATTAACGACAGGTCACTAGTTTCAGAGCTTATATAGATTCAGTTCATAAGGGACTGGTATTCTAGTTCTGCCACAAGAGGAAGTTATTCCTTAATGTTGAGTGTTTCTCAAACTTTATTATATATTGTATTAACATAGTACCTGGGATGAACAGAGAATTTCTGCTAATTTCAACTAGTTTCCTAGCTGATGCTGATATTGCTTGTCTGGGACCACCTTAGGAACCAGCTAGGTATTATTATTTTATAAGACAGCTGAAAAAGTTGCTATAATTCAGGGTTGGGGCAAGTAATTTTATTCAGAATAACAGAAATGAAATGCTTTAGAATATTCAGACTAGAAACACTTGAAAAGTAAGCTTTGTAGACATTCTCATGTTTTTATTTATTCATTCATTCATTTTGGGGTATTGGGGATTGAACCACAGTACTTTACCACTAAAAAGACTGGGGATGTAGATACCAAGGATTGAACCCAGGGGTGCTTAACCATTGAGCAATATCCTCAGCCCTTTATGTTTTATTTTGAGACAGGATCTCACCAAGTTGCTTAAGGCCTTGTTAAATCTTTAAACCAGCTTTGAATTAGTGATCCCCCTGCCTCAGGTTCCTTAGCTACATGCCACTATATCCAGCATCCGCGGTCAACTTTTTTTTTTTAAGTTGTTGATGGACCTTTATTTTATTTATTTTGTGGTGCCGAGAATCGAACCCAGTGCCTCATGCATGCCAGGTAAGCGCACTACCACTGAGGCACAACCCCAACCCAAAATTAAATTTAAAAAAAAATATTTATTTTTTAGTTGTAGTTGGACACAATATCTTATTATTTTTTTTAATGTGGTGCTGAGGATCAAACCCAGGACTTTGCACATGCTAGGCAAGCGCTCTACTGCTGAGCCACCATCCCAGCCCCTAAAAATTAAATTTTGAGGCAGGTTCTTACTAAATTGCTGAGGCTAGCCTTGAACTTGTAATCCTCCTGCCTCAGCCTCCCAAGTCACTGGGATTAAAATCATGCCCATTCTTCTATTTTTAAATTTTTATATATATATTTTTTTAATTTTTTTTTTTAGTTATTTATATGCAGTGCTAAGAATTGAATCCAGGGCCTCACACATGCGAGGCAAGCACTCTACCACTGAGCCACAACCCCAGCCCCTAAATAGCGCATTTCTTAACCCAGACAGACTTTCCAGAATGAAATTCTACAACTGCTTTTGGTTACCAATCCCAGTTTCCAATATTTCAGGAAATTCCTGTCATAAAGTTCTTCATTATATCTAATTACCTTAATAAAATTTTCATGAGCTGTATTTCAGAACATGAGGCACAGTTGTATGTACAGATTCACTCCTCAATGAAGCAAAGAATAAATGTTATTTTAAAGTTATTATGATGAAATCTCACTATCTTCAGATTTCATACTTTGGGACCATCTCAGATAATGTTGATGCCTCCCTGTTCAATAATTTTCACATTATTGGTGAGGAGTATGTTATGGTTTGTCAACTTTCAAATAAGGTTTCATATATCACTTGGTTCTGTGTAACTCCAACAAATTATAGATCTATACATATATTGGATAACTTTTTTTTTTTTTAAGAGGGAGAGAGAGAGAGAGAATTTTTAATATTTATTTTTTAGTTCTCGGCAGACACAACATCTTTGTTTGTATGTGGTGCTGAGGATTGAACCCAGGCCGCAGGCATGCCAGGCGAGCGCGCTGCCGCTTGAGCCACATCCCCAGCCCATATTTAGATAACTTAATGATAAACGTTATTTTTTAATTATCTTAGTGTACAACTGTATTTAATAGGCTGTATTTAATAAGGATTCCAATCCTGAAAATTATCATCTATTTGGCTATACTTAATGACCAAAGGAAGTTTATTATGAATATGACCTTTGATATAACACCAGTGGAGCTTGCAGCTAAACTGGGATGTTATAGATAATCAATAAACCAAAGTCACTTTCTTAAATACAAAAGCTGCTTTTAAGATGGAACAGTCAGGGCTGGGGATGTGGCTCAAGTGGTAGCGTGTTCCTGGCATGCGTGAGAAACTCCTTAGCACCACATAAAAATTAAGATATTGTGTCCACCTAAAACTAAAAAATAAATATTAAAAAAAAAATGGAACAATTAAGCAGCTGGGTGCAGTGCTACGTGCCTATAATCTCAGTGACTTGAGAAGCTGAGGCAGAAGGATCACGAGTTCAAAGCCAGCCTCAGCAAAAGCAAGGTGCTGCGCGCAATTCAGTGAGACGCTGTCTCTAAATAAAATACAAAATAGGGCTGAGGAGGTGGTTCGGTGGTCAAGTGCCCCTGAGTTCAATCCCCAGTACCCCCCGCCCCTCCCCCCAAAAAAGATGGGACAACCAAGCACTTGAGAGAGAAGTTCCCAAGTATATTGTAATAAGTGTTGCTAATCTGAGTCATAAGGAGCCTACCTCAGATGAAAGAGTTTGGATGCCCACTAATTTTAGAGCCAAGACGGAATAAGTGGATAAGTCTCTTTTTCAGAAGAGACTTAGAAAAAAAAAAAAAAAAAAAACACAACTCACCACTCAGTTTGGATTCCAGAAGTATTACAGTTTCTGATGACAGCAAAAGCATCGTGGCTCATCTTGTGAGCATCATAGTGGGTAAGGGCACAGCAACGGCGCAGGCTGCTGAGACGTTTGTCTCCTTGTACACGAATGCTTACAATCAACTGTGTGGCTACTCTGTCATTCTGTGGGTAGAAAAGATTTGGGACTAGAAATAAAGTTATCAAGAGCATCTGGATTCTGTATACTGAACTACATGGGAGGAATTAAAAGAACCAGGGTAAAAGACTGGTTTAGAAACAAAGTTTCAACTAAGTGAAGAATAAACTGTCACTAAGCAAAACATGAGGCTCTTTTATTCCATTTTGTATATTCATTAGAGTTCTTACTTTGCACATGTTTGGTACTATGAGAGATGCAAAGACAATCCCTATTTTCATATATTGTATTAATAGTATAGAATTTATACATTACAATCACGTTTTCTGAGTAAAAATCCAATCACATGGTTGGGTTGTGTCTCAGCACCACATAAAAATAAATAAAATAAAGGTATTGTGTCCATTTACAACTAAAAAAAATATTTTTTTAAATCCAATTATGTGATTCCACACACAAAAAAGTTTGTGCTATTTCTGGATGTAAGAAGTAATCAGACAAGACATAATTTGGGTGATGGGATATTAAAATATCTAGGATATTTTGACAAGTAATGGGAACAGGACAGAAAAAAATGAAAATGGAACTCTCTTGAATTTTTTTCAGGTGCATAAGCAAGATTATAACAAAATACTACAGTATTACATTCTATTTTATTACTGAAAAAGAGTTTAGGAAAGTAATTGTCTGAAAGTCAGGATGTCACCAATGAGTAGTGGTTCTAGTTTCCAATCAAGTCCTTTGTCTTTTTTCTGCCCTGTTGCTTTTATGCTAAAAGCAGCTGAAATTTCTACTGGTACCTCGACACAGAATGGTAAAACCTCTAAAGAGCAAGACCATTTACTACTTTTCAGTTAAGTCTAAACATCTGAATACTGTTGATGTTCATCAAACCAAAATAAAGGTAAAGACATGGAAATATAAGAAAGTGAAAAGGATCCCAGCAAAAATCAAAAGATGAGCTGGACATAGGGCATGCCTGTAATTCCAGTGGTTTGGGAGGCTGAAGCAGAAAGCGATAAATCAAGGCCAGCCTCAACTATTTAGTGAAGCCCTAAGCAACTTAGTAAGACCCTGTTTCAAAAAATAAAAAGGGCTGGGGATGTGACTCAGTGGTCAAGCACCCATGGATTCAATCCCTGGTACAAAAAAATATGCTAGTGAGAAGAAATGTTCCTGTGGCAGGGTGAAAATAACATTTATGAGATTTGCATATCTTGAGAGAATATAAATTGGCAATTACAAATAAACCCTTGTTGATGAAAAAGATACAACTATAATTGAGTGCCTATTATTATATCTAGGCAATACCAGGAGATGCAAGAGAGAACAAATAAAGTCCAGAACCTCATGGATTTTACATTGTAATAGGAGCTGCATATAAGAAACAAGAAGCAGGGTTGGGGTTGTGGCTCAGTGGTAAGAGTGCTCACCTAGCATTCACAAGGCACCGGATTTGATCTCAGCACCATATAAATGTAAAATAAAGAAATTGTATCCACTTAAGCTTAAGAATATTAAAAAAAAAAAGAAGGCAAGTAATGAAAATTACTACAGAGAGCTGAGCATGATGGGATTCAAATCCCAGCTACTTGGGATTATAGGTATTAGCCAAGGCAGGAGGATTCCAAGTTGGAGGCCAGCTTTAGCAGCTTTGTAAGACCCTATATCAAAAAAATAAAAAAGGCTGGGGATGTAGGCTCAGTGGTAGAGAGCTTGCCTAGCATGCATGAATTCCCCAGTACCATTAAAATAATAATAAAAAAGCCAGCTTCTCAAAAATTTAAAAGGAATGTGTTCAATCCCTGATGTGTACACACACACACACCCACACACAGCCATAGCAACTTAGCAACACCCTGTCTTAAAAAGGACTGGGTTCAATCCTTGGTACACACACGCACACAAACCAATATGAGCAAAGAAAGATTCTCTGAGGCAAAGGAACAGGAAATGCAAAAGTGTTACGGTGAGATCTTACCTGGTGTATTAGATAAAAGGGAAAGAAGCCAGTGAAGTAGACACTACAGCAGAATAAATGAGAAGAAAAGGTGAGAGACAAGAAACTAGATCATTATATTTATAGATTTAAAAAAAAAGATTCTAGCCAGGCATGTAATCCCAATTTACTTGGGAAGTTGAGGCAATAGAATTGCAAGTTCAAGGTCAGCCTAGGCAATTTAGTGAGACTCTGTCTCAAAGTAGTGGTAGAGTGCTTGCTTAGCATGTGAAAGGCCCTGTGTTTGACTCCTTGGGCTAAATAAATAAATAAATAAATCCTTAACAGAGCTTAGATGGCAAAGGAAGCAACTGGAATATTTTAAACAGTGGAGGTTCAGGATCTTCTGTCTTGAGTTATTCTTTTGGGTATAATTTTCAGGAACCTTCCTACCCCCACTCCTCCGCAATGGATAGAAATTGGGAAGAAAAGCCCCAGAGGATTATAGAGAGATGAGTACTGAGTGACACCTAGTGGGCAAAGTTGCACAGGCCCAATAACAGCTGGGATCAAATTCCTCTTTACATTACCTACCAAAGATGTAAGAATGTAGGTAGGTAATGTAATGGTCAAGAATAGTCCAAAACTACTTGTTTGCTCTTTTGTAGCTGTAATTGGTCATGAATGTTCTTTTGGTAGGTAATGTAAAGAGGAATTTGATCTCAGTTGTTATATGTAACTTTGAAAACATTATGTTAAAGATTTAAAGGGCTGAGTCTATAGCTCAGTGGAACAGTTCTTGCCTAGCATGCATGAGGAATTGGGTTTGATCCTTAGCACCACATTAAAAAAAAATACAATAAAGGCATGCTGTTTATCTACAACTACAAATAATAATAATAATAATAATAATAATAAGATTTCAAGCCAGTCCAGACCAGGCACAATGGCGCATGCTGTAATGCCAACGGCTCAGGAGTTGGAGGCAGGAGGATCTTGAGTTCAAAGCCAGCTTTAGCAACAGCAAGGCACTAAGCAACTCAATGAGACCCTGTCTCTAAATAAATTACAAAATAGGGCTGGGGATGTGGTATGCCCCCCCCCCCAAAAAATAATTATAAGCCAGTCCAAAAGAAATTAAAGGGATACAAATAGGAAAAGAGGAGCTCAAACTATCTCTCTTTGCTGATGACATGATCCTATATTTAGAATACTCAAAAAACTCCACCAGAAAACTTACAGAACTCATAAATGAATTCCGCAAAGTAGCAGGATAAAAAAATTTTTTTGGTGTTGGGTGAGTTACCAGGGATTGAACTCGGGGAGACTTGACCACTGAGCGATATCCCCAGCCCTTTTTGTATTTTATTTAGAGACAGGGTCTCACTGAATTGCTTAGTGTCTCGCTTTTTGCTAAGGCTGGCTTTGAACTCAAGATCCTCCTATCTCAGCTTCCCAAGCTGCTGGAATTACAGGTGTGCACTACCATGCCTGGCAGGAAACAAAATTAACACCCATAAATCAATTGCATGTTCCTATACGCCAATGATGAATCAGCTTAAAAAGAAATTAGGAAAACTATCCCATTTATAATAGCCTCAAAAACAAAAAATACCACTTGGGAATCAATCTAACAAAAGAGGTGAAAGACCTACAATGAATACTATAGAACAGGGGTTAGGGTTGTGGCTCAATGGTAGAGTGCTTGCCTAGCACAGGTAAGGCACTGAGTTCGATCCTCAGCACCCCATAAAATTAAATAAATAAAAATAAAGGCATTGTGTCCACCTACAACTAAAAAACAAAAAACAAAACAAACAAACAAAATTCTATAGAACACTAAAAGAAACCTGAAGAAGATGGGAAGATCTCCCAGGTTCATGGGTAGGCAAATTAATATGGTCAAAACAGCCATACTACCAAAAGCGATATACAGATTTAATGCAATTCCATTAAAATTCTGGTTATGTTCTTCATGGAAATAAAAAAAGTAGGGCCGGGGTTGTGGCTCAGTGGTAAAGGGCTTGCCCAGCATGCGTGAGGCACTGGGTTTGATCCCTGGCACCACATAAAAATAAACAAATAAAATAAAGGTATTGTGTTCATCTACAACTAAAAAAATATTAAAAAAAAAAAAGAAATACAAAAAGTAGTCATGAAATCCATTTGGAAAAATAAGAGGCCCAGAATAGCCAAAGCAATCCTTAGAATAGCGAAGCAAGAGGCATCACAATACCAGATCTTATACTACACAGTTAGTTACAAAAATGGCATGTTATTGGCACCAAAACAGTCATGAAGACCAATGGTACAGAATAGAAGAACACAGAGACAAACCCACATAAATACAATTTTCTCATACTAGTCAAAGTCACCAAAAATATACATTGGAGAAAAGAGCCTTTTCGACAAATGGTGCAGGAAATCCATATGTAGAAAATGAAATTTAACCCATCTCTCACCTTGCACAAAACTCAAAATAGATCTAAGGCCTAGGTATTAGATTAGAAACCCTGTACCTACTAGAAGAAAATGTAGGCCCAACATTCCAACATGACTTCTAAGACTCCTAAAGCACAAGGAATAAAATAAAAAATTCAAAAATCAATAAATGGGATAGTATCAAATCAAAGATTCTTCACAGCAAAGGAAACAATCAAGAGTGAAGAGAGAGCCTGGAGAATGAGAGAAAAATCTTTGCCACCAATACCTCAGATAGGACATTAATTTCCAGGATATATAAAGAATCAAGGGCTGGGGCTATAGCTCAGTGGTAGAGTGCTTTCCTAGCATGCATGAGGCACTGGGTTCAATCCTCAGCACCACATGTAAATAAACAAATAAAATAAAGGCATTCTGTCCATCTACAACTACAAAAGAGAATTTAAAAAATATTTAAAAAAAGAACTCAAAAAGCTCAATACCAAAAAAATAAATAACGCAATCAATAAATGGTCAAAGGAATTAAACAGACATTTCTCAAAAAGAAGCCATCGACAAATATATGAAAAACTGTTCAATATCTCTAGCAAGTAGAGAAATGCAAATTAAAACTACATTGAGATTTCATTTCACTCCAACTAGAATTGCAATTATCAAGAATACAAGTAACAATAAATGTTGGCAAGGATGAGGGGAAATGAGTACACTCATACATTGTTGGTGGGACTGCAAATTAATGCAATCACTTTGGAAAGCAGTATGGAAATTCCTCAAAAAACTCGGAATAGGGGATGGGGTTGTGGCTCAGTGGTAGAGCGCTTGCCTAGCATGTGTGAGGCACTGGGTTCGATCCCCTGCTCCATGTGAAAAAATAAACAAAATACAGGTATTGTGTCCATCCACAACTAAAAAAAAAAAAACTAGGAATGGAACCTCCATTTGACCCACTTATCCCACTCCTCAGTATATACCCAAAGGAGTTAAAATTAGCATACTACAATGATGCAGCCACATCAATGTTTATAGCAGCATAATTCATAACAACTAAGCTATGAAACCAACCTAGATGCCCATCAACAGATAAATGGATAAAGATATTGTGGTATATATATATATATATATATATACACAAAGGAATATTACTCAGCAATAAAGAAGAATGACTATGACATTTTGCTGGTAATTGGTTGGATTTGGAGACTACCTGCTAAGTGAAATAAACCAATCTCCCAAAAAAATAAAGGTCGAATGTCCTCTTTGATATGTGGGTACTAACCCAGGGAAGCAGGAAAACAGAAATTCAGTGGATTAAACAAAGGAGAATGAAGAAAAGGGAGGGAGATAGGAATAGAAAAGACAGTGGAATGAATCTTACATAACTTTCCTATGTACGTATATGAATACACCACAATGAATCTCACCATCATGTACATCCACAAGACTGGGATCCTAATTAGAATAAGATTTATTCCATGCTTGTATAAATATATCAAAATAGATTCTATTGTCATGTATAACTAAAAAGAACCAATTAAAAACAAAAGATTTCAAGCCAGTCACAAAAGAATCATATGTATTGTATGATTCCATTTATATGAAGTTTCCAGAATATTAAATCCATAAAAACAAAATGCAGACTAGTAGTTTACCTAGGGCTGAGATTAGGTAGGGGAGAAATTAAAAATGACTATTAATAAATACAGGAATTCTTTCTGGGTAATGACAATTCTATAATCAATTGTGGAATAGCTGTACAACTCTGGAATATACTAAAATGACTGAACTACACACTTGAAATGGCTGGATTTTACAGCACATAAAGTATATCAATAGAGCTGTTTAAAAGGAACAAAGAGCCGGGCATGGTGGCACATGCCTATAATCCCAGCAACTCAGAAATCTGAGGAAAGTTCAAAGGCAGCCTTAGCAATTTAGCAAGGCTCTAAGCAACTGAGCATGGCTCTGTCTCAAAATAAAAATGGCTGGGGATGTGGCTCATTGGTTAAGTATCCCTGGGTTCATTCCTCAATACAATACAATACAATACAATACAATACAATACATACATACATACATATATACAAACAAAGAAAGAAATTGTCTGATGGCTAATGTGTGACTTATTTTCTGGGTTTAAACTGCACTACTCCCAAGTCCAATAACTTATGGTTCAATCTCTCAGAGTCCTGCTCAATGACTATGCACTCTGAAGAAAGTCCATTCTATATTCAGGGTTTCAGAAGTTTGATAAGAAAATCTAAAAACATAGAGGCAAATGATAATGAGAGAGACAGAGTTAGGTCTTATGTTCACAGAACTAGGCTTTTCAAGATCAAGTTGAGTTTTATGGGCCTATGTTAAGAGAAGGTAAAAGATTTCTTAAAATTTTCTAGGCTGATATTTTTTTCTAACTTTGTTCCTATTCCAAAAGGTAAGGAGAAGCTGATTTAAATCCCAAAGCCTACTCCAGGAATAAAGAAAGAAAATCTTACATCATTTCGGTCTTTGGTCAGTCTTTCTTCAAGTTCTTGGGCTAACTGCAAAAGCCACCATTGTACCTAGAAAAGTATTAAAACTTTAATCCTTCTTTTAAATACTCAAGGAGGTTGGGGTAAAGCACTTGCCTAGCATGCACAAGGCCCTGGATTCAATCTTCAGCACTGCAAAAATTGAATATTCCAGGTCCATTATAGAACTAGATAGTGGATTTGTTCAGTTTTTTTTTAAACATTTATTTTTTTTTTTTTTAGTTGTAGACAATACCCTTACTTATTTATGTTTTTGTAGTGCTGAGAATCGAACCCAGGGCCTTGCACATGCTAGACAAGCACTCTACTGCTGAGCCACAATCCCAGCCAGGATTTGAGCAGTTTTAACCCAAATAGAATTGTATACCAATGCCTCCCCCATAAGCAGATTATAGAAATCTTCTCAGTATTCTCTAAGTTCAAGATTTTCATTTTCTTTTCCTGCTGGCATGGTATAATGAATTTCATGTATGTCCAAGCATTGAAAAAAAGACCTACTTGAGGCACAATATCCTAGGTTTTCCAAGTTTCCATCTACCAAAAAATGAGAAACTCTATTTAATTTGGTCAGTTCCATTTTATTTTATTTTTTAGATGGAAGAAATGGAAACAAGTAATAAATCCCAAGTTAAACTAATATCAAAATAGAACACAAGCTTCCTTTTTCCTTCAGACTTTATAAAGTTCCCATTTAACTGGCTAAAGATTACATAGCAAATAAAATCTACCCACTACCTCTTAAAAGAGGCAATTTTCTATCAAGAATGCCTGCTTACCTGTTCCCGAGTAGCCAGAGCTGTTTTTCCTGGGAAATTCTTGCTACAGCCAATGGTTTTGGGTAGTTGCCTGGGCTTAACTGGATCATGTTCAATTCCTCGGCACATGGCATAGAGCCAAGACCTAATAAAACCAATAAAATCATTTAAGATGATAATAAATTATTATTCTTATTTAATCTAAACACCTATATTACCTTTTTATCCTTTTCATAAAAAAAGGAAAAATGTCCAAAATTTAAGTGTACTTGACCTCTCTGAGAGAACTCCAGCTCTCTCAAATTAATCCCACTGCAATATATTGAGAAGGAGAGCCTCACCTAATTTTTTGGGGGAGTGGGGGGGTACTGGGGATTTAACCCAGGAATGCTTAACCATAGAGCCACATCCCCAGTCCTTTTTACTTTTTTAAAATTTTGAGACAGGGTCTCGCTAAATTGCTTAGGGCTCACTAAATTGTTGAGGCTGGCCTGGAACTTATAGTCTTCCTGCCTCAGCCTCCTAAGCCCCTGGGATTACAGGCGTGCATCACCACACCTGGCCTCATATAGTATTTTAAAGCAAAAATAACCAACTAGGGCTGGGGATGTGGCTCAAGCGGCAGCGCGCTCGTCTGGCATGCGTGCGGCCCAGGTTCGATCCTCAGCACCACATACCAACAAAGATGTTGTGTCTGCCGAGAACTAAAAAATAAATATTAAAAATTCTCTCTCTCTCCTCTCTCACTCTATCTTTAAAAAAAAAAAATAACCAACTAGTGAAACTGCCTCAAGGAATAAATGTTGAACTAAAGATAGATATAGATTTTACTAAGTGGTTCTATATTTGAACTTAGCATTTCCATAAAGATTAAAAAATATTATGAATCACTTACCCATTCTTTTCTCCAAAATGACTCTGAAGCTGGGATTCAGTGAACTTGGTCAGTTCACCCATGTATTCTACCCCTAGAATTTCAATGACAGAGGCTCCTAGCTTTCCTCCAAGACTACGGCTGACAACGAGGGGAAAAAGAATTTACAGATCAGATCATAAATATCTAGTTAACAGCAAACATAAGAACTCTGATACTGTAAATAGCTCTTCAAAAAGTTCAGAGAAGCTAGGCACCATGGCTCATGCCTTTAATCACAGTGACTCCGGAGGCTGAGGCAGGAGGATCACAAGTTTGCAGCCAGCCTCAGAAACTTAGTGAGAACTTGTCTCAAACAAAAACAAAAACAAATAACTCAGAGAAAATGAGAGCACATATTAATCCTATATACTCTTTTTAAAACATTTTTTTTGGGGGTATTGGGGATTAAACCTGGGGTTTAATCACTGAGCCATATCTCTAGCCCTAGTCCTATACTCTCTTAGTTTTCTAGCATCAGACTAGATGACTCTGAGAATTCAGATACTCTTCCAGGTTCAGATCTAGGGGGAAGATTAATAAGAGCATAAGCAAAAGAGTAGTTATTGATTAGGCAATAAGCCAATTATATATAAAAATTTTAGCTGTCCAAGATCTACTGTCCTAAAAAAAAAAAAATCTACTGTCCTACTTGAGGCTTAAAATTACAAACCCAATCCCTAGTTCCTTTTATTTGATGTGCACCACCATGCCCATATAAAACCATTTTATACTTAAGAATACAGTCAAAATTCTCCATCCTGGCCTTTGAAGTACTCTATAATCTGTCTTAACCTAATTTTTGAGTCTGTTTCCATTACCTGTGTTCATTAATATTAACTAGTTCACATCTTAGTTCACTGAAAATATCTTCCACTTTCTCCCCTCCTTGTGCTACAAATATTCTCCAAATCAGTGCTGTTTTATTTACTATTCTTGGCTGACTCTCCATATATGCCAACCTGAAAGCAAAATTGCATGCCCTGTTCATAAATCCTTCTGATTACTTTCTTTTTTTGTGTGTGCTCTTCAATAATATTATAAGCCCTTGTCAATAACACATAATTGGTACACACAACTTGGTTATTCTTTTGAATTGTCTTCTTTCATAACTAGTTGGGGGCAATTCAATAGCTCTGAACACCTTATTTGATATTAGAGGAGAGAAAGCAAGTAAAAAAATTTTTTTTGGAACATAGGAATAGACTTGAATAAAAAAAAATCTAGAAGGAAGTTAAAAATATAGCTAAAACTCAGTTCATCTTTTTTAAAAATAGGACGATCACAGATCATCCAGAATTGAAAATTCATTAAGAAAAAAGTTTCAGAGCCAGGTATGGTGGCACACACCTATAATTCTAGCTACTTGGGAGGCTGAGGCAAAAGAGAATTATAAGTTCAAGGCCAGCCTCAGGTGTCTAAAAATAAAAATTAGAAAAGGGACTGGTAGGGCTGGAGATATAGCTCAGTTGGTAGAGTGCTTACCTAGCATGCACAAGACCCTGGATTCAATCCCCAGCACCACAAAAAAAAAAAAAAAGAAAGAAAGAAAAGGGACTGGTAATGTAGCTCAGTGATAGGACACCCTGGATTTAATCCCCAGTAAAAACAAAAATAAAAGAAAAAGTCTTGGGCTGGGGATGTGGCTCAAGCGGTAGCGCGCGCTCGCCTGGCATGTGCAGGGCGCTGGGTTCGATCCTCAGCACCACATAAAAATAAAATAAAGATGTATGTCCACCGAAAACTAAAAAATAAAATATTAAAAAACTCTCTCTCTCTTAAAAAAAAAAGAAGTCTCACTATGCTTCAACATTTTAATTGTTTGTGTTGTCTTCCTTCTAATAGCCTGGTACCTATTTTCCCTGCTCAGATACTTTATAGGACTAAAAAATTACAACCAGAGAGCATCTTCTCTTGAGTATGTGTGAAATTTAAGGTGTTCCCTAAATACTTACATTTTGCGAATAGGCATTTGGTTGAAGAGCTGTGGGACGGATCCATGTGAGACCACCGTCTGGCGGTTGGGCTTGTTTAGTCCACAGGCCAGTTTTGCCAGGACCTGGAAACATGGAAATCAGGACTGTCAACTCACCTGTGCAGAGTTGGAGGAAATTAAGATACACACATAGAGGCAGTACAGGGGCTGTAAACTAATGATTCCACATTAAGAACAAAATAAAAAAAGAAACTTCATGTTCTACAACATCCTCAGTGGAAAACATGAACCATTATTATTATTAACCTCATTATTCTTCCTATATCTCTTCCATTCTCAGTTTTCCCCTAGTCATTTTTCCGCCTCCATCTATTCTTTGAGATCTTCCCACTTTTTGGGGGAGGGGTGTGGGAAGGGTTTTAATGGGAGATAGAACCCAGGGGTGTTTTACCACTGAGGTACATCCCCAGCCCTTTTTATTTTTTGAGACAAGGTTTTGTAATTTGCTAAGGCTGGCCTCAAACTTGTGATCCTCCTGTCTCAGCCTCATGAGTCATTGGGATTATAGGCAAGCACCACCACATTTGAAAAGTCTTCCTATACTTTAAGAGGTTTAAAACCCAGGGAAGCTACAGAAGAAGCTCAAGTAAGATAGATATATTTCTCAGTGTATCCATATGAAAATGCTAAAATAAAATGTTTTACCCTACCTAATGGTTTTGGTTCCTAAATTTAATACAGATTACCATAATTTAGTATCTGTGATAGAGACTGGGCTCAAATTTATCCTCTAAGAGCAAAAACACTTAAAAATGAAAAAATTTACATTTAAATCCTTGAGAACTCTTCAAATAGTAACACAGTTCAGTGGCATCCTTATGCAAATTATAATTTATATAAAATCATTCTTTAACTGCATTACAGAAATTATTTAGGAACTTCTATTAGACAACATTTAGTCTGGTTTAAATTACATTGAAAATACTGCCCCCCCCCCACCTCCATCTAACCAGAAAAACAAAAAATAATTCTGGGCAGTTTAACAACTATTCTCCCATTAGAGGTGGGGGAGAGAGCAGCAACCAGGGATATCAACCACTGCCCAACTATTGAGTCTTGGTCAGAAGGGTATGAAAGTCTATGCTCTCACTATACTTTACTCATAGTTCATCAGAAAATTAGTTATTCGGCCCCTGGATTATTGAGAATTGCCTGTGTTCCCTAAATTAAAATAGTGGTCCAAATTAATAAAGTTTTACTATTGGATTTATCTTATAATTCCTATTTTTTTAAAATATTCATTCATTTATTTATTTTTTGGCAGGCACAACATCTTTATTTGTACGTGGTGCTGAGGATCGAACCCAGGGCCGCGCACATGCCAGGCAAGCGCGCTACCGCTTGAGCCACATCCCCAGCTCCTTATCATTCCTATTATAAAAGGGGAGATAGGCAAAAGTATAACATTCCCAAGCAACTCCCCCAAGAAAATGAGATAATAGAAAAATGTTTGACAAGTGAAAAATAAAATAGTTTTTCTTTTTTTTTAAAGAGAGAGAGAGGTAGAGAGAGGCAGAGAGGGAGAGAGAGAATTTCAATATTTATTTTTTAGTTATCAGCGGGCACAACATCTTTGTTTGTATGTGGTGCTGAGGATCGAACCCAGGCCGCACGCATGTGCGAGCGAGCTACCGCTGGAGCCACATCCCCAGCCCCTAAAATAGTTTTATACATAAAAGTTCAAGACTAGCCTCCTCCCTTCCAAAGATAGCTCAGTCATTAAGAAACCACTTTAGATATAATTTTATAAGTAAGCATTTTTCTATAATTTTTTACCTTGCTTTAATTAAACATAAATGCAATGTAAATTACCATTAAAATATACTTAATATACTTTTATTTGGGCCTCAACAAGAATTTTACATAAAAACTCATTCCAAAATATATGGGTAAGAATTTAAATATCCCACTCATATCTATCCTGGCTGTACTCAACTGAAGATATCGAGCTCAGGCAGCTGAGGCAGGAGGATCTCAAGTTTGAGGCCAGCCTCAACAACATAAGCAAAGCCCTAAGTAATTTAGTGAGACCCTGTTCTAAAAAACAAAAAATAAGAAGGGTAAGGGATATAACTCACTCAGTGGTAAAGGACTTCTGGGTTTAATCCCCAGTACCAAATAAATAAATAGTTTTTCTTTGAAATCTATGATTCACTTTCACCTTATTGTGTGAAATTCCAGCTGAGCACTGAAAACCAGTTTGCATTTCTATGGCTGCTCTCATTTCCTCCACAATCACTGCCCCCACAGTGAGCTGTAGGTCTGGAGATGTGATGTCATCAATCTGAAGAGAATCCAGCCACTGAAGTAAGCCTTGTTTTCGTATTTCCTCTGGGGGGAAAAAATGAAGTCACTTTTAGATATTTTGTTTTTATGTGTGTATGATACTATTGAACCCAAGGCTTTTGCATGCAAGGCAAGCACTCTACAAACTGAGTCCCCACCCCTCCCCTTTTTATTTTTTTGAGAATGTTGCCACATTGCCAAGGCTAGCCTCTAACGTGCCATCCTCTTGCCTTAGCCTCCTGCATAGCTGGGATTACAGGAATATGCCACAGTTCCCAGCCTACATTTAGACAATTAAAAAATAATAAAAAATGCTATTTTCAGTCATGGGCAATTATAACATTCAGTCAATAAACTATACACATACCATATATCCTATATACAATCTAGGTTTTGTTGTTGTTAGGAACTTGGAATTGAACCCAGAAGCATGCTTTGTCACTGAGCTATATCCCCAGCCCTTTCTATTTTTTATTTTGAGACAGAGCCTTGCTAAGTTGCTGAGGCAGTTCTCAAACTTACCATCTCCCTACCTCAGCCTCCAGAGTTGCTGGGATTACAGGTGTGTGCCACTGTGCTGAGCCCTCTTAATTTTTTTCAGACAGGGTCTAAGTTGTTGTGACTAGCCTCAAACTTGTGATCTTCCTGCTTCAGCCTCCTAAGTTGCTGGGATCATAGGTGTGCACTATTAAGCATGGCTACAATCTAGGTTTGTATAAGTACATCCTATGATGTTTAAACAACAATGATATCACTCAACCATGCATTTCTCTGAACATATCCACGTCCTGAAGCAATATGTGACTATTTTCAATTGCAGTATTTCATGCAGAAATGTTTGGATTTCAGATAATTTATATATATGTAAGGTTTTCTTGCGACATGCCAGCAAAGTGAAAGGAGTAGTCATTTGTAGGAGGCAGCCATTCTGAATGATTCACATTCTCCTTCCCTGAGCAGAGAATACTACATAGTGACATTGCCCAGGTCCCCGAGGTTGAGAATGCGTCTTTAGATGTAGGCGTGTCACCCCATAGATTGAGCTATGCTCACCTGTTCCTTTGTGATAGTACCCCTTTGCCCTGTTTGAGATAGAATGTTCCATGGAAACATCCTTAGTGTGTCCCCTTCTCTTGCTCTGCCTTTGGGTGTGGCCTTTCTAGGTGTCAGTCAACCTGCTGACAGCAGACATCACTGCTAGACTCCTGAAACCTGACCCCTGGCCTCATTTGAATGGCTTCTCCTCAATAAAAGAGTTCAGCAGGTGCTGGCCCTCTCTCTTTCAGTGGGCCTTAAGGTCTGAGAAGCTGTCACAGGACCCCAGAGAAAAAGGTATCTCTTATCTCTGTCTCTTGTCTGATTATTTCGTACAGCCCAGTTCACCTGGAGTGACCCTGAGTGTTTTAGTTGCGAAGAATTCGACAATCATTAATAGCTATCTTTCAACATGCTCATCTTCCTCATCTCTCTATATGTGAACATTTACTGCTGCAAGATACTTTTTTATATATATTTTAATTTTTTAGTTGTAGATGGACATAATACCTTTATTTCATTTATTTATTTCTTTTTATGTGGTGCTGAGGACCAACCCAGTGCCTCACACATGCTAGGCAAGTGCTCCACCACTAAGCTACAATCGCAGCCCCTCTAAGATACTTTTTTTTTCCTTTAAATGTGGTATGGGGATCAAACACAGGGTTTTGTACATGCTAAGCTTGCACTCTATCACTGGGCTATACTTCTAGCCCCTCCAAGTACTTTAAGTATATTTTCTTGCCTTGTTCCTACCTTATTACTGCCTTCTTAAACCAGTAAGTCCATATTTAGTATGTATCTAGTTCTTTCATGCCTGTGAATTATAAATAGTTGTAAATTGGATTGTAAGATATTTCCCATAATCATGAATACTGAACTACATTCTCTTCTTTGTACACACATTTCCTTTTGGTAAACTCATAACTGTCTTATGGTTCAACTTGCTTATGAGTACATGCACATCTTTCTATTGCAAACACGCATAAATTCTAATCCCTTATCTCTACCTCCCTACAGAATAACTTCTTGAAATTTTTATTATACAGAACTTCAAACTAAACAACTTTTTATTTTTTTTTTTTTTTTTTTTTTGGCAGTGCTGGGAATTGAACCCAGGGCCTTGTGCGTGCAAGTCAAGCACACTACCAACTGAGCTATATTCCCAGCCCTAAAAGCAAATTTATCAGGTATAGTAGCACGTACTGTAATCCCAGGTATGTGGCAGGCTGAGGTAGGAAGATGAAGGAAAGTTCAAGGCAAGCCTGGGCAGACCATGTTTCAAATAAAAAATTTTAAAGGGCTGGAGACATAACTTGTGAAGACCTGGATTCACACCCAAGTACACCCTCTCCCCACATACACAAAAAAGAAAACCTAAAAATCTGTATCTTCCACCTCAGAGATTCTTCCAACCAACCACCCATTTCTAATATAGGGTTAAAATACAAATAATGCCTCCTTTTTATTGTTTCCCATTTTGAAGCCATCCAGGCCTACTTAAAAATCTCGTATATCCACTGCAACTCACACTATTTGATTCAGATTTCTTTTTTATATTTTCCTTGTTGGTATTATGGATTGAATCTGGGGCCTTTCATGCACTTACCAGATCCTCTACCTTAATTTACACCCACAGCCACACCCTCTTTTAAAATTTTTTGAGACAGGGTCTGGCTAAGATACCCAGGCTGGCCTTGAATTTGATTCTCCTGCCTCAGCCTCCCAAGTAGTTGTGATTTCTCATATCTTAAAACACACAACCTCTGGAACATTCACTCACCATTGTAACTCCAAGAGCTTTTTCTACAGAAATCTGTACTGTTTCTTCAAATAATAACAGATTGCCTTACAGTTCCCCCAACAAGTTAACTTGCCACAGATTTGTGCCTAGTTTCCTTTTGGTTAATGTTCAACATTCAAAGGTTTTAATGAAAAGAGCTCTTCTGAATAAAAATTATATTACAAAATAGTAGTTCAAAACTATTACAGGGCTGGGGTTGTGGCTCAGCGGTAGAGCGCACACCTAGCATATGCAAGGCCCTGGGTTCGATCCTCAGCACCACATAAAAATAAATAAAATAAAGGTTAAAAAAAGTAAAAAACAAACATACAAACTATGTTACAAATGAAAGGTATTGCAACTATAGCTAATATCAAAAGTACTACGCTGGGGCTGTGGCTCAGTGGTAGAGCACTTGCCTTGCATGTGAGAGGTACTGGATTCGATCCTTAGAGCCACATAAAAATAAATATATTTACCAACTAGAACTTAAAAAAAAAAAACTAGAAAATGTCTAGTAAAAAAGATACAGACACCCCTGAAAAGCCTCCTGGTACAGAATTCTTTGCCCTGGGAAATCCAACTGAATTCTATTTGCATCATCTGACTAAAAAAATAAAATACCGTTATGCAAATTCTTAGATCTAGAATCTAAAATTATCATAGTCTAATGTACCACAAACTTTGAGGTTTTATTGTCCTAATTTTATTCTAGTCTAAGAAAACATTTTTAACTTTTATGTGAACTTTATTTAAGCACTTCATACAGAGTATTTCTCAAGTTTTTGTTAGATGAGGTAAATAAAGATGAACTTATTTAAAAAAATCACTTGCGGGGTGGGGGGCGCTGGGGTTGTGGCTCAGTGGTAGAGTGCTCGCTTAACGCACACGAGACCATGGGTTTGATCCTCAGCACCACATAAAAATAAATTAAAAAATAAAGGTATTGTGTCCAACTACAACTAAGAAATAAATATTTAAAAAAAATCACTTAGAGGCTGGAGATATAGTTCAATTGGTAGAGTATTTGCCTTGCATGCACAAGGCCCTGGGTTCAATCCCTAGCACCGCCAAAAAAAAAAAAATCATTTGGGGCTGGGGCTCAGTGGTAAAACACTTGACTAGCACGTGTGAGGCACTGGGTTTGATGCTCAGCACCACATAAATAAAGGTATTGTGTCCATCTACAACTAAAACAATAAATTTTTATTTATATATATATATATATATATATATAAAATTTATCATGGGGCTGGGGTTGTGGCTCGGTGGTAAAGTGCTCGCCTAGCACATGTGAGACCCTGGGTTCAATCCTCAGCACCACATAAAAATAAGTAAAATAAAGGTATTATATATAAAACTATAACTAAAAAAATAAATATTAAAAAAAATCATTTATCAGCTGGGCATGGTGGCATATACCTGTAATTCCAGTGACTCAGAAGGCTGAGGCAGGATGATTGCAAGTCCAAGGCCAGCCTCAGAAACTTAGTGAGGCCCTATGCAACTTAGCAAAACCCTGTCTCAAAATAAAAAATAAAAAGGATTGGGGATGTGGCTCAGGGATTAAGCAACACTGGGTTCAATCCCCAGTACCAAAAAAAAAAAATCCAAAAACTTTTTATCATTTCCTTACACATCAACAGCCAAGTAGAAAATATAATAGAAAATGTACAAAATTGCAATAGCAGTAAAAACTTTCAGTCATCTAGGAATATAACAAATGAATGCACAAGACATTTATAGAAGAGTTAAGCCTTAGTAAAGATGTAATAGATATTCATAATAATAAAAGAATCTTGATCCCTACTCACACTATATGCACACCATCATATATCTAAATGTGAAAGTTAATACAATAAAGCATCTAAATAAACTGAAGAGTATCTTGAGATAGATAGTTGCTAAAGATATTCTTTGTGGCAACATAAATGTGCCTGGAGGACATTATGTTAAGTGAACTAAGTAGTTACAAAAAGACAAATATCACATGTTGTTAGTAATATGTAAATGCTAAAAAGAAGTGGAAAGATATTAAGAAGTAGAAAGCAGAACAGTGGTTACCAGAGACTCAGAAGAGTACAGAAGAAATGCATGGAGAAAGGACAGTTAATGGGTCCAGGGTACAGTTGGTTGGAAAGAATAACTTCATCATTCTATAGCACAGTATAACTATATAATTGATTTTATATTTCAAAATAGCTAGCGAATGTTCCTGAAACAAAACTGATAAACGACTGAAGTAAAATATATGCCAATTACCCTGGTCTGATTATTATAAAATGTATAACTTTACTGAAATGTTATACTAGGGTTTGACCCCAGCACCATAGAATATAAAAAAAAATAAATAAAAACTTATCTAAAAATGTAAATTCAATAAAGATGTTTTGAGGAGTTCAACTTGCATATTTTAAAATTCATTCTGAACAATAAAGTGGCATAAATAGCTAAGTTAATTTTGAAAATCAAAGCAGAGAGAATTCTTATCAAATATTGAGACATGGGGCCGGGGATGTGGCTCAAGCGGTAGCGTGCTCGCCTAGCATGCGTGCGGCCTGGGTTCGATCCTCAGCAGCACCACATACCAACAAAGATGTTGTGTCCGCCGAGAACTAAGAAAAAATAAATAAA